AAAAGCTGTACACAACATACTTGTACCGGGTACAATATAAAAACTTCTGTTTAGTGACGTCACATTATTTTTTATCTGCCCATGTATGACGCCATACTATGACCATACCCACGTCATGCGTGTGATAAACATGCGGATATTGAACGAACAAATATATTTGACAGTCTGCATTTCGTCCAAACGGAAGCAATTTGTATAACTCATTATCACGTCCAATATTTGTTGTCTCCGTTTTGTGGGTGAGTCTCAAACCTTCGGGAAAAATAGACTTGGCCAGTTAATGAGTCATAGAAACACTCACTCGATAGTGTGGGTGTACAGATATATAGCCACACTTTGGACCAGAGTATAGTTAATTGCGATTGTGCAATCAACAAGACTCTGAATACGTGTCACTGTATATACATATAGAAGATATAATGCACATACATCTACAGATAACATTCTTGAATATAATAAACTCATTAAGAATCTATGTAAAGCCGTATAAATTCATATAAAAACCGAAAAAAACTGCCTTAAACTGAAATGTATTAGTTTAATACTGCATGTGTTGAAGAACAAACCCCCCCCCCCAAAAAAAAAAAAGAAAATCTAAACGTTTATGCCATACTTATCTAATATTGTAACTATTCTCTTATATGCATTTCAGAATGAATGCCGGTTATATTTCATCGCACACTATCTGCATTTTATTGAACTGTTGCTGCTGCAGTTCAATGATTATGTGCTAAACATGTCTGCGGCCACACCCACCCGATCTTCAAGCCCATTTAAATCAGTTGTGAATTATGACATTACGAACTTGACAACATTCACAGTACCAACATGACACACAAGTTGAATGACATCCCACACTCGCCCACAACAGATCATGACGTGTGACTAATTTCTAACATCTTTACACTTTGAAGCTTTCTTGGCCCAAACCCTGATATCAAAACCAGAACATTATATGAAAAACTAGATTGGGGCAATTGATCGCATATTTATGTGGGTTGTACTATAATGTGCATAGACATAGTAAAATGTGAAGCGTAATTATTAACACGAATCCATTTATTAACAACTGGTGATGGTTGTAGAACCATAACTGCCTCAGCTCAAAGACTGTTATGTAATACAAGGGAATGTAAAGGGAAATGTATTGTAGTGTTACCTCTGTGTAATTTACAATATATCTGCATTAACCTTCACTATTAAGGACAATATGGGAGTAGAAGCAAGGCTACGCAAATTTGCGAAATAGTAGTTAGTTAGAATTACCAGACATTGTGGGATATAAAGAAGTGGCATATTAACTCAACAAACATACTCGCACATATCCATACATGTCTTATTGTGTGGGGAAAGCTGTCATGTACACTTATTCATAATAACTGGAAATGGTTTCACAACAGAAAACAAGTGTTATTGCTGTCAATAATTATGAACAATAAAAACTGAAATTTAGAAAGACTAGAACAAAAAATAATGAAAGTCTGTGATTTTCTGCACAGTTTCCAGGAAATTATTAACCGAACCACAACATTTATAAAAAAGCACAGTGCTGAGATTCACTTCGAGTATATCAGAAATATAATCTTACAATTGCATACGAGTCGTCAAAACGTACAGTTTGGACATAATTAAAATTTTGTATAGTTCAATATGCATACAACCCACCACTAGTACATTTTGACAATAAACCCTACTTTCACATTGTGCAAATACAAACAAGACATTACACCTTCCTGACAGTAACATGTAAGCGTTGTATTAACCCGAATGAAAAGTCTTGAGTCACGGCGAATACTTCTATGAGTCGCCCATTTAAAAACCGCTTCAATAGCCAAGCAATCAATAATGTGCGGGGTCATTAATTAAATAATATTAATTTTATTAACACTTACACATTCCCCGAA